AAACGCTATCGATTTAAAAGTATGCACGACGACAGGAAGTAGAGTCACCTGACAGCGTCCGTGTGGCTGGTGCGGAAGAAACGCTTTGGGAAATGGAGAGTAATACCATGCACACGAGCGTTTCCCCTTCCGGCGGTCTCGTTTTTCCAAACTTTAACGTGCCCGCGTTCTGCCGCTGTCGTGTGCAGTAGTTTGGGAAAGAGACCGGTAGAGAGTGCTACTTGTACAGGCTGCTTCACGCCTGGTCTTTGATCCCGGAGGTAAGTCCTTATGCAGGAAATTTTATTTCCGATACAAACGTGTACTCTTAAATAATATTTTTAAGCGATAGTAGGCTATGGGTTAATTAAACGATTTACTATCGTCCGATGGTGGATTTAAAACCTGAGAGGATGGAAGTGTTACCTTATCGGAATCTAACCTATACCTAACCCAAAACAATTTCCGGGGCCCTATCGAAATATGTCAAGTATGTACAATATATAGTTTTTTATTTTTATACGAAATTAGATACGTAATTAATAGAGAACCTGTGTTTCTTATTATTCGCAAAGTGATCTCTGAAAATATTAAAGCATAATTCTGTACAGTTACACAAGAGACTCCTGTCATGTATTTATCATGGATTTTTTGGGTCAAGATCGAAATGGAAGTACACAAATTTACAAGCTGGAATTGCAACGATTAAACGTAACACTAATGGAAGAAAATTCAATACCAATGAGTTGAAAAAAGATTTCCACAACTATTGCAAGTATATGCCTTAACAATTTGCCAGTTCTATAACCTCAAATTTGCCAAAAATATCAGTTGTAAACTTCGGAAATTTTTAGGTAGCAATTCCTTAACGGTCCCTCCGTTTAGAAACAATTTCTGCAGAAAGGAAAATACAGAAAAACGAAGAGAATTGTCCAATGGTGAAAAGTTGGAACATCACAGAGCAAGGTTGACCATAAATTGAGCAAAAACGCAGCGCCGTCACAGTGCTATTAGAAATTGGGCTCACGCCCGTGGAAAGACGATAGGAACGATGAAGGGAATAGAAGAGAGAACGAAATAAACGGTGATGTGCTCGCGTCTTCGTATCCATGTCGCGTATCGTCCGCCTTTTGAGAATTCATAAATATTCGGGTGCAAAAGGACAGAGGGAGGTATGGAAGTGGTATCGGTATCTCACGACCGTCGAAGAATTTCTTTACAATATTTCCACGAGACACGCGAGAAAGAGACACTCGGTCGACGTAAACGTTATTTATTGGAAAACTTTCGTTCACATCCAACCTCTATCCGTTCGCAATTTCGACTCCGTCACCGTTCCATGCAATCGACCAAATGTGTACAGGACATTGCAAAAGAGAGAGTCCACAATTTTCAATTTTAAAGTATTTTTTAATTGAACAATTGCGTGACAATTATATCCGTAAATGAAATGTATTATAACGTAGATGCGATTGTAATTGTTCTGCGAATAAGAGGTTATGTTCCTACTGGATATTTCAAAAGACAGGTGTGCAATTTTCAGTTCTGACCGAAATTTTAGGTTAATTATTCCGTTACTTCTTTTATACTTCTTGACAAAGTTAAGGGATTAGCTAAGTTTCACCTTTATGCTTGTTAAATTGTGAATCTTAATTTTTATAATATTAAGAACAGAAATTGCACAACTGACTTGTTTTAAAAAGTCGAGTTAGTACTTTTATTTCCGGCCCGACACTTTAATAGTATTTCGTTTTAATTTAATAATAGGAATGTTTCGTAAAGTCTATTGCATTGAAGGGAATCCTTTTAAGAAGATTATAAAAGCTATTTATAGAATTATATAGACGTAACGATACCTAACGCATAGAAGCGTTAAGTATGATCAAAGTTATTTACGCATATGTATACATTTCTACAAAAAGAAATTATACACTTTATATAATTAATTAAAGAATGTATAAAACGAAACACTAATAAAATAATAAGGAAACGACGTAACGATACCTAACGCATAGAAGCGTTAAGTATGGTCAAAGTTATTTACGCATATGTATACATTTCTACAAAGAGAAATTATACACTTTATATAATTAATTAAAGAATGTATAAAACGAAACACTAATAAAATAATACTGACAAAATCGCATAAATGTATAAATTTTTCATACCTGAGTCGCCAAAAAATACGCTTCCAAAGTTATCAAAAACGGCGGTAATTCTTTACAAATCCTGTCATCCATCTTGGAAACAGAACCCAGATTCTCTTCGTGTAATATTCCCATCCTCCCGGAAGGATGCTTCGAGCCAACATTAATTTTCCTTAGAGCTACCTTGTCTAATTTTCTTTTCCATCGTGAAATCGTTAAAACCGTAACCGTCTTGAAATAACACCGAAAGTACCGTTTCTCACTTATTAAAAAGCTCATAATCCGGTATCATAACGAATTCAACGCGCCGCACTGTATGCGCCCACTGCGCTCTATGAACGTATCGAACGGAAGGCGCACGCGAGCGCCACTTGGAAATTCGGGCGAGCAGAGAAACGCGCGAGCAGACACGGCCGCGATCCCCTCGAATGGGAATTGCACGAATCCCCCCGCGAGACGGCCGAATAAATTTTTGCAAAGAGCCTCCGGGTAAATATGTGCTCAGTGCTGTGTATACCGTGAATGTACTTTCGTACACGCGCACACATCTGCGCCTTTCACCGGCGCACGGGCGAATCGTGAAAAAGCAATCGCGAGAAGCGACTCGTGTGCCGCGATACGTAACAGAACCATCGTGGACCGATAACTTTGTTCTTTGATGTAGAAACGAACTTCCCGTAAAGGAAGCAAGGCATGTGTGAAAGAGAAACGTTTCCGGGAATTGAGGATAAATTGCGAATTATAGATTACATCGAGAACGGTGAATAGAGGTTGGAGATTATATGTTATCTCCTGATTTGATTGAAATGCGTAAAAATTGATAACCGAAGAAGATTAATTGATAAAATTAAACGTGACAGTATTATACAGTGGCGTTCGCTTTTTGACTCTAATAACAATTTTAGGTTTTAATGTGACATTGATTATTTTCATTTTTAATTGTAATTAACGGTAGTACATGTGTAGTTTACCTAATAAAAATAGAGATTACCGGTAAATAAAGTTACAACTTTATCGACTAACGATTTACCTTGGAATTTCTTCATGACCGATGATCGGTTTTAGAATCATGGCTCAATGGATATTTAATTGAATATTATATTTTTCTTAATATTATACTTCGCTGAAAATGTGCACTATACACCTTTTTATTGCAAACACGATTACAAAATTTACTACGAAATACCGTTTAAAAGGAATATACAAATGACAGAGAATTATAAGCCAGGATCGAAGAAAACAACTTTATCGACCTGGTCATCAGTTTCACCCGAATCGAAATAGATGGAGACACTTGTACAACAAATGCACTTCGATCTCTCCGATACGTAATACTTTCGAAAACATGCACTTATTTACCTACTCAAAACTTTAAAATTATCTCTAGACACGATCTAAATCACGGAGAAATAATATCCACTTTTAACTATTCTCTAAAATTACAAGATACATCCAGCGTGATACTAAATGAATGTCGTTCATAAAAATTTGAAATCCTGCTCATAAAAAGTTCATCAGATAAACCAGAAAAAAAAGTTGGAGAAATAATCGTAAAATCGGTTTTCCTCAGTGACGAGGAAACAGGAAGAGGAATTACGACGGGAGTGGTTAAAATCGGATCCATATAATAGGTACCGTGTATTATATAAAACCTCATTGTTACAACGTACGTAATCGTACATCCGCCATGTTCTCCGATTTCATTCGACAGAACCCTCATTTTCTTCTCTTTTTCCCAATGCTCGAATGCAACAGGTGCACTGCGGAATACAACGCCGGAAAGAAGAACAATTAATCCGCCGGTCCACGAACAGTACTCTCTCTTTATGTATCTCGCGATATTGCACACTGATCGGATCAATAACACGCAAAACGAGAACGAGAAAATCGGAGACAGTAAAATTGTTGTCATTGCGAATCGGGTTTAAATAATCTATCTTTGGATAAAATATTTTTACATCATCGTTATTTACGTTGTTGGTAAAAAAACAAACCTAACGAATGATCAACGAGTAATAAATCGAAAATCGATTTTCCCTATTTTCTTTCTTTTTTTCTCTTTTAACAAAAAAAAAAGAGGGACACGTAATAAACCAACAAGAAGCCGTGCATCCGATTTTCCCTGAACATACATGTATATGCACAACGACGCAAAACGCACGGATCCACTCACACCCATTAAATATCACATGGTACGACCACCTGCTTCTTTACACGGGAGACTAGCTTAAGGTAATTCCGTCACGCGGCGACAGTATCGCCGAATACTCCTCGAATCTCTCTTCTCTTATGGTACAACCAATTTACCCGACGTTATCGATCGAATGAATCTTCTCCCCCTCTTTCAACGCCGCGAAAACCAATGAAGGAATTTCTCGTTTGTCCTTCGCGTCGCCGGGAGGGTTCGCCACCTTCGAACGGTAACTCCGGGTGTTCCATGTTATAAATTTCATATATACAAACACCAAATACTCTATATATATTTCATATATATAATCCCTATATACAATCAAAATACAATAAACTCCACGAAAATGAAGGAAAAAGGCTCTTCGTTAAAATTTCATCGTTGTATAAAAAATTCAAATATTAAAAGTTAAAACGATTCTCTCTTTAACACTCATATATACACAAAAGTACAAATTCTACAGGAACGAGATTCAAACGGTAGACGCAGTCATATTAAATTTAAAAGAAAGAGATTCTTTTAGAAATTCCATCACTGAGGCCTGCTTCCAACGAAATTTGAAAAGGGACTCATAACATACTTTCCGATTAAAACCGTCGAAGGAGCCACCTACACGTTTATCTACACGTATGTACAGAATATAAGAACAAAAATACGAGACAATAACAAACGCAACGTCGCTTGATCGAGACAAAGAATAGACCCATCTCGATCTACACGAGTCAACTGCTGGGCGTTGCAACTAGATGCAACATGAGATCGTGCGACTCTCCTCTTGTTTGCGAGTTGGATCATCCGGCTGGTCATCTGTGCGGGCAATTGGGTACGTGCGGGAACAGATGACAGTGGATCGACCTGAATCTGTAATTAGAACATATCGACACGTCTAAGGCGCGAACTTCGTGCAGTGACGATTGACTCAACAATAGAGGGACTAAGGAGGATCAGACCGGAAGTTTGAATCGACCGATGGTAAATAGGAATTGTGCAAATTTCACATTTCGAGAGATTGGAATTAATGCTAAATTACCGACCTATAATGTCAATCGAAATATGATACGCATCGATAGTAATGGAGCGACAGGAGGAAAATAACAAGGTATAAATATATAATTACGTTCCTATCTGAACAAAATCTACATTAATATTACCAAAGCAATTGCTTGTTTTAGATAATTGCAAAAGCAAACAGCCTCTAACCTATAGTTATTTTAATTAGCTCAATAGTTCTAGCGTTGTGAGGTTAGAAAACCGATGGAAGTGACGTTAGTTGATCACACGGCATTAATCATGGTAAAGTAAATCAGTATTAATCTGAGATACGAAGCAACTTGTATCGACAAGGAATGAGATGTCATTAAATACTAATACTTTCTATTGAAATTTTTATCTAGTACTTTTATCCCACTTTATCCATGCATCTCCAGCAAGCAGAGATAGAAATACACGAAGGACATCGACTGATCGATAATTCCACGTAAAAAGGTCAAGCCACTTTTCCTCCAGCAGCCAATACTTGCAGGAAAGCCTCGTTAATATTCATAGGAATGGAAGTTCGCCTATTTTTCTCGGGCTGATTCACGTGCCAGGAATAAAAGCGAGAGAAAAAATGGTAGGAGACCACCACCACGAACGTAACGCGCGGAAATGGGAATAGGAGGGTTACAAAAGACCCGGTCTGACTGGTAATTATAATAAAGTCAATTAAGAGCGGCGTTGCACGGTGGCATCTTTGTCATTAGCTCACCACTCTTTCGTCCCCATGCGGACAGGGCAATTACCGGAGTAATTCGAGTCTTTACGCCGTAGAACAGGGTCAAAGAAACGTGGAAAGCGATTCAAGAGGACAGCTATACGTTGGTCGAGAAGATGGACAAGGACAAAGGGAGGAAGATTCCAAGGTATACGCGTAGCTGTCCGCTGCTAATTACTCTTTCTCGTTCTTTGGTGTGCTACCTGTTGTGCTCCCCATGACTCCACGGTAAAAAGGATAGATCAGTTTCATGAAAGCTCGACACTTTTCCAATTGCTCTTGTAGGTTGAAGAAACGACATAGAAGCTAGGTTAGAACTGGAAAAATGGAAGTGATAAAGAGGCCCATGCGAAACATCTTTATAAGGACTCGGGGGTACTGAAGTCTTTGGTTAGTGTTAGCGTTAAACGTCAGCAATGGTAATTTATGCCTGGAATTTTATCTTAATTAATTCAATTAGAACGCACCTTTTCGGATCGTCCTTCATGTCAAAGCCATCGATCTTCAAGATATTCCAGTCCTCCCTGGACCCCTTCGAGTAGCTAAACGACACCTGGAACAGAGAACACGGAATGGTGATTATCAGGGGCATGAAAATTATCATGGGTAAAATTCCAAGGTGTAATTACTTATTTCCAAAAACCGTCCAACAAGTTTTAACTTTTCCTTTAATCTGTAATATCCAATAGGTAATTCTCGTAGAGCTTATTTTATCAATGTAATATATCAATGTGCATAATTATAATTATTTGTAATTCTGAATAACCATAATTGGTTACCAATGTTCTAAAATAAGCCGCCAAGTATACATTCTACGCATATTCTTTCATTCTTACAAAAAGTTCTTTGTTTAACATTGAATAACGTTGAATAACAAATTAATATTATTAATAACAAATTATTCGCAATGTAAATTTATGATAAAAGTGAGAAAATTAATAAATTATTGACTATTAGTTGAATTTACAACATACTTGCGTTAAAATGTATCTATAACTTGCAAAAAGTTTATAAATAATTACACCCATTGTTAATAACAAAGTGTCTACAACGTAAATAAATAATAGAAGTAAAAAAAATTAATAAATTATTGGCTATAAGAGCAGAAAATTAATAATTAATAAAATCGGCAAAGTTAGAAAATTTTCGATCGGGGTGGGGGGCTCGGCCGATCGGAGGCTATATAAAGGGCGACGCGACGCAGCAGAACTCATTTGCCGGTTTGGCATCGGGAGTGTAACATTAAATTTTTCGTGTGCGGGAACGGGGGTGGGGCCGAAGTGAGGTTGGGGTTGGCCACCCCACCCACACCCCACCCACACCCCACCCACACCCCATCCCCTTAAACAATCTAATTATTATTTTTGTTTCGTTTTCAGATATTAATTATTTTTTTTCAGGTTTTAATTATTTTTTCTTCTTTCAGGATTTAATTATTTTTTTTTTATTTCACATGTTACTTTTTTCGTTTTTATTCATCATTATTTAAACATTCGCATATTTCGTATAATATTCGAATGTTTCGTCGTTGGTTTCTTTATGTCTCATCGTTGGGATGTTTATCTCATCACTTGGGTTGGACATTGGCTCGATAGCCACTGTCCACTCCATCCACGATCCACTAATTTAATATTTCCTTTTCAGGTTTTAATTATTTTTATCGTTTCAGATTTTATTTTATCAACTCTATTTCTATTCGAGCATTTGAATATTTCGTATAATATTCAAATGTTTCATCGTTGGGTCGTTTATGTCTCATCAGTGGCATACTCTTTCTACTTGGTTAACCTTCATGGTTTCTATTCGTTCGTTTTCTTTCCTCGTATTAATCCGCTTTCTTTCAGGTTTATATTAACAATAATATATTCTGTTTTAGCTTTTAGATTTCTCAAGATTCTCAAGTTTCCTCAAGAATTCATTTCGGACACGATGGACGAAGCGGGATGCATTCGTTTAGACCTAAGTAGACCTAAGTAGTCATAAGATAGATCCCTAGGATAAGTTTCATCATGTGCGTGCTATTTGTACAAAGGTGCGCTACCTAACTTGGAGCGAAATATATAAATTCTCTATTCTCCTCTTACCTCTCTCGTTTACCAAATAGAACATAATTGTTCTCGCGATAATCGCGATCGTTCTTAAGCACTGACTAGCCTGCGCGACGTACTCTCGTTTGCTCGATAACTCCATGTTTCATAAGTCATCCAAACGACTCGTTCCGACACTCATCCTCGCCACTGCCACCCTTGTCATGCATCGGTTCTAGGGTGGTCGGCGGGCTGGCACTCATCTGGGTCAATTCGAGGGTCTGTCGGCCCTAGTCGTCCTGGGCACCAGCGCGTGCACGACCGGGGTATGGGTCCTGTAGCCGGACATTGCATATGGGCCTACGGTCAGACCCCATGGGATGATTAATTTCTCCCCCATGTGGCAGGGGCCTGCGTGACCGGCTACAGGGCCTCGCTAGGGACCCTCGGCTTGATTTTGGATGTTTCGTTGGTTCGTCGATCATTCTCGTTCGCGAGTAAGTCATGGCAGGGTCTGTGGTGGCTGGATGGGCTAGGTTCGGGTCGGGAGGGTGCCGAGGCACGAAGTTGTCTTGTACACGAGAGTACGTCTCGTAGGCTAGTCGGTCTTTCGAATAATCGCGAACTCGTTCGGGCGCGTCGCGATTTTTTACTTGCTCGCGTCTTTCATATTTCATTCCCTATTTTTATGGGAACTTGGAAATATTAGAGTCTATTGAAATAAAATATCTTAGCGTCGCGACAGTCGAGTTTTAGTATACCGAATCGAAGTCCCTTTTATAAGACACGAAATTTTATAAAGTGTCGGTAGAGTCATTTTAACTTAATTCGCTCCAAGTTAGGTTAGGATGCCTTTGTTACAGATAGCACCAGCAGGCCGCGCCACTAGGGCGCATGTCGGGTCTCGATGCGTAGCCACCTCCACGTGGTGAGACCTGGTAATTGGTATCCTTTTTCAAAGAATCATTTTTGGAAAACGATACCAAGCGAAGAGCTACGCACCAAATTTAAAATACTTTTTGGCTCTTGTAAATTTAAGATGTTCACTTTGAACTTCATTTTTCAAAATTTTATAACGAAAATCTATTTCTTTTATTTTTCGTCGATTGAACTCGGTACTTGGATCATGCATAGATAACAATGGCTACGCGGCGAATATTTTCTCCATCTGATCGAATTAAAAATCGCTCTGACTTCTCTGATCCTCGAGCAAGCCTATGGAATACGATATCCTACAGAAAATTCGTGTTCGATTTTCTCAGTTATCTATCTTAGATTCGAGTAAGCCTATGGAATACGATATCCTACAGAAAATTCGTGTTCGATTTTCTCAGTTATCTATCTTAGGTAGAAAACAATAATCACGAATTCTAAATCAGTCATTTATAGCACAGTAATTTCAATATTAAGAATATTAATTCAAAATTTCTTCCCTTCATCCCTAGTAACATTACCATCATTTAACAGCCTAGAAGATGAAAATAGACTTGCATATATTTCAAACCTAGATCCTCGACCCATATTAAAGGAATTAGAGCGTGAAAAATAATTCTAGGCATCTGCACCGATCCATATCGTTTATGGATCTTCCGATTCAAGTCCCGAATCTCAAGATCTCGACACTGACATGTCCCAAAGGCTACCGAGCACAAAGAATCGTTTATGGACATCACGAAGGAACGCGATATCGCTTATTTTTGCATTCCAAGCCGGGAATTAGGCAGCACTTCAGTCAGAGTCTCGGTCGCATGAAACGCGAAACCGAAAGCTCGATCATGTTCTACCCACGAGTGCTATGGAAATATTTCTTCTTCCAGCGTTTCGAGCCTCAGCGATTCGCTTACGTGGCTCGCAGCAGAAATTTCGCTCTACTCATCTTTTGACTCCATTAGCTTTCGAAGCGTCTCGAAATTCATCCAGATCGAACTAAGCACATTTCCAGCATCGTCGACGAATATTTGGAAAGAACGAGTCAATAAGACACTAGAAGATTCGTCGAAATAATTCAAAGAAAATATATCAAAAATCGATTCAAGGATAAAACAGAAATTAATTATTTTCGTTTCTTTATAGCTTCAAATCTCGAACGATACAGTAACATTTATTAATACTAATTATTAATAATAATTATTTAGCAATATTTACCACTAAGTTTACGAGACACGAATCATTTTGATTCGAGGTATCTGCCTCAAATTTCACGAAGTAAATTACAGAAATTAAATTTAAATTTTTATCTAAATAAAAATAATCCCTAGACATATTATAAATTTTATTTAAATATCTATCTCACAGTTTCATTTGTAAATTAATATAATATAATTACTTATTAATATAGTTTAATTAAAATTGGATTTTAAACAAGATATCAACGCGAGTAATGTTACATATTAAGAACCATCCGTTCTATAATTATTTATTTTATGAAATAATAGTCCTAATAACTCGACGAATTTTTCAAATCCAACAATATCCACTGGTAGAAATATTTTCAGACACGTACCTTCATAAAATGAAATAAAAAAAAGTCGATACTTTGAAGCTTCTAGACTAGATCCTAGATTCCTAGACTCTTAATTTCCTCTGTGATGACTCGACGGGACGAAATCGTGGAGATCGTGGAAGAAAATGGTATTCGAGAGCTATCGACGCGAGGTAACGAGTTTCATTGGAAAGCAGCGAAATGACACGGCTATTGGAGAGTGGCCAGGCACCTGGTCTGCGCGAGGATCACGCGAACAACGCGATCACCTGCTCGGAGTGAGTCAGTTTCAGGGGTCGGCGTTCTCCGGAACAACGTCGGATCAATTGGTCATTGTTCGCGTACGAGCCATGGAAAGAGGCGGCCATGGTGATTCATCGCGGGGATTATTCCATTACCCGTGATTAGACTTCACACTGTGACCCGTACGATCTTAATTCTCCCTCACTCTCTCTCTCTCGCCGTTTCACTGCCGTGCTTTTTTCCATACCCCGCCTCTGTACCGGATCAATTAATCACTGCCGGTGGAACGCAGTCGAGATTGAACGCGAGAGTTATTCGACTCGCCGGCGAGCGCGGGTGGAATCGCGATTTTCGTCCCGGGACAGGGTATTTAAGGATATTTAAGATGATATTTTTCGATGATTATCGCAGCTTTTAAACCCGTTTATTGCCTCGTTTTAGTAGCTAACGATTTTACGAGCATATCCGCATCTGGTTGGAATTACGAGGTATTACACGGATATTCTTGTAATCCGGCTTAATCTTTTAGCTTAGGATGCCACGAGACACACGTCGCACGGTTATCGAGCCAAACGTAGACAGCACGTGTGAGAAACGTGACACGTCAATCGGGCCGAACTTAGATATCACGTCTCTCACACGAGACGCGGCAATCGGGTCGAACCTAGATATCACGTCTCTCAGACGAGATGCGGCTATCGGGCTAAAAGTAAATACCACGTCTCCCAGACGAGACGGCAATCGGGTCGAACCTAGGTATCACGTCTCTCAGACGAGATGCGGCTATCGGGCTAAAAGTAAATACCACGTCTCCCAGACGAGACGGCAATCGGGTCGAACCTAGGTATCACGTCTCTCAGACGAGATGCGGCTATCGGGCTAAAAGTAAATACCACGTCTCCCAGACGAGACGGCAATCGGGTCGAACCTAGGTATCACGTCTCTCAGACGAGATGCGGCTATCGGGCTAAAAGTAAATACCACGTCTCCCAGACGAGACACGGCAATCGGACAAAACCTGAAGTACCTAAAAACCTAACACTAAGTCTAAGACGTAGTACGTCGTTCGAGCTATACGCGACAAACACTAAGCCCCTGAAAATGGGGCTTAAAAAGGAAATGGCGATTTATTTTGAGAAATGTAGTGTTCCATTGTAGAGCATGAAATTCGACTTACCTGCTCGCCGAAGGTGTCCTTGTTGAGGAACTTCATCGGTTCCAAGTGAGAATGGAACTGCTCGACGACGGTGAGCTGCTTCTTCAACAGGTACTCGATAATGTATCCCATCGTCACGTCGTCGGGCAACCTGATTCTGTCGCCCACCGTGATGAACTTCCCGCCTCTGCAAGCAAACGCAAACAGCCGGTTAGCCGCGTCGACAATTACCCGCGACTGTCATCAATTACCCGAAAGACAATTGCGAATCGTCTCTCGCGAATCGCTCCTTCCAATGCGACCTCCGCGATCAGTCAAACCCGTCCCATACGCAGATCTCGTTCGTAATTTCAAACGGCCGGGAACCTAACCTAACTTAGTTCATCTCAGAAGCAACTGACATGTCTCTCCCTTCCTATACTTTCTCAACGCGCAGTTTTATTCTCATTCTCAGGCGAACAAAATTCCCGTTGCAAACAAAACTTCCATTCGACTATCGAGAAATTCACATGGCCTAACATAACTTGGAGCATTTTCAAAGTGACTGTATTTCTGTCTTCCACCACGAGCTCAATGCACTCCAGTGCATCGCAATGCTCTTCTTTTCAGCTATTTTGCAACAATCGAAACCTCGATTTCGCCATCGAGCAATTCATCCGACCTAACCTAAAATTAACCCTTTGGACTCGAAGATTTCTTCGTTACGAAGATGCAATTCCAAGCTCTTCTTAGATTTTTATAACCTCACTTTATCACTCTTTATGCTAAAATTAGGAAAAGGAAATCACGAATTTGCGTGAGAAACGAACGAATAGAATAATTTTATTTCCATGTTTTTAATATAATCATCATCATCCATTATTTGAGTTATAGCATTAAAGGAAACGGTGACTGAGAGTCACCTCTCGAGTGCAAAAGGTTAACACTTTACACATCGATAGACTATTAATCGGCTTTCTGTCACCGACGCTTACCGATCGGTTGCTATTATCATTACAACAGTCATTATCATTACACGAACAGTAATTTGTTATTCAGTACTGAGGAACGTTGGTACGTTGCTCAGTTGCGTCACTTTGTGAGCTCCAACATTTTTATATGGGAAAAGTTTTATATCTAGAGCGTCAAGGATGGTGCGTATGCTGTTGAATCGCTGGCGATCGGTAAAGTGTGAACCTAACCTAGATCACCTGTTCCGTCCCGGAGAGCGAGTTTATAACATAATTTTATTCCAAGGCTTACACTTTTGCCAGACCTAACGGTTTATTTTATATTTTATAATGCGACTGCAATTCCGGAGGTTCGATGTGCCTCAAAGCCGTTCTAGCGGATTAAGCTTATAAAGGTAACGCAAATTTAGGAATTTTACTAGTACCAGACGCGACAGATGGGACTCACTTGTGACAGACCCAACAAGCGACGGACGGACGGCACTTATAAATCACGTCATTGACCATCAGAAATCGGCTCCTTGACAGTTTCCTACTCCTTAGCCAAAGGTCCTTATGTCACACCCTCTGTCCAATTAAAACTCTTTACCTTTCCACCACCAACATCTATTTTACCCAATCAGAACTAAACTAGAGAAAACACCGGACCGAACACGACGAGACAGGACATAGAGCAAAATCGAGAAGTCAGTTCGTCTTCGGCACCGATCCTTAAAACATCTTAATTACACATACAAACGCGTGTTCGAAACGGTACTCCGTTAACGTCTACGTTATAACTATTCTACACTTTTCTGTAAATAAACACTCTCTTTTGACCACACACATTCTGGATCCTTATTATCACAACTAGTCACGCAATATTAATTTGGCGCGTGATAAGCGTTCTTGGAAATCGAAGAGATTCGATACCGTAGGACGCTACATCGCCTTTGAAGGAATTATCATGTCTCACCCGTGCAACACGACGTCAAGGCAGGCTTTTCTCCGGGTACCGAATCGCAATCGGAGGTCTGAGCATGGAGAAATGCTGCAAGTTCGACGACCCGACGCGCCTAAAGCCACCCTAAATCTTCGGGAACAGCCGTGCAGGAAGATGTACGATCGAACGGTCTCTCGGTATTCCTCGACACATCCCGGTGGGAAATAAACTCGGTTCGCGACTTATTCCACAAATCTCGGAACATCGGCCAAAATAAATTCCAGGACGATCGCGGAATAAATAGGCTCCATTAATTCCATCTCGGCCAAGCGGCGAGGCACGGCTGGTCTACGCGTGAATCACGCAGCGTTCCGCGAGGGCGATGCTTTCTCATCCTCTTCCACGCGAAGCACGTCGCGAGCTTCCCCCGTTTCGACCGCGCCCATTCGCTCGTTCTAGGATTATCCGGTGTTTATTGCCCGCGCGCGTCGGGTGGCCGACGCGAACAGGGAGGAAAGAAGAGCGGAAGAGGAACGTGCCGGTCGAGGGCAGCCGGAGAAACCGAACGGCGATAAATTCCACGCCTCCGCTAGTGCCTGGGTGTCCAGGAAACGCGACCATCCGAGTAGCCGTTATTATTTATGGTTATTAGACTCGCGGATTGCGTGGACCCTGTTACGACCTAACCATCGCGCGTCCACCATCGCAGATTTTCCCGAATTAGGGGTAGCCATTGGATCAGAGAACAGGAGACTACTCTGTCTCTTTCGACGTCTGAACCTCTGCTGGAATCCTGATGAAGAACGTTATAGACCGATTAATCTTTTTAATACGAAGTGGGTCGCAACAAGTGTCAGCCCTCGTCGCGATCTTCGGGACAATCTTCACGGCGTTGTAGACGGTTTCCAACTGTACTTTCGTCCTCTGACTCCAGAGCTTTTAAAAAGTCGCAAGTGTCAGCCCTCGTCGCGATCTTCGGGACATCTTCACGGCGTTGTAGACGGTTTCCAACTGTACTTTCGTCCTCTGACTCCAGAGCTTTTAAAGCGGTCGAGTGTTCGCGGAAGGGGTAGAAACAAGCCCGCCAACCCAGGGAGGTCGTAAATTAAAACGACCGTTGGTCTGCAACATCGCTGCCTGGTCCCAGGCTAATCCGCGGCATGACATTGACGATAGCCAATGCCATCCGCGGGACAATGCCTGTTGACCAGCAGCGACTGCTGCTGCGTTGCGGGGACGAACCCGGTGCACCCGCGACCCCAATGTCCCTGCTCCCTTCGCATGGGCGTAGTGGCGGAACCTTAGCCGCCACAAATATATTTAGGAAGGACTTTAGCAAAGGCAACGGTATTAACCCTTTGCGGTCGTGTGTCTACTCTCAGCCACCATGGCAAAGAACCTGTGGGGGTCCTCTCCCGCCATCACTTGACGTCGTCTGTGGCGGGTATCCTCGGTGCTAGGTAGCTAGAAGGGACGGTTGGAAAAGGAAGGGATGCGTTTCGTCCTGGGCCTGGTAGCGGACTCATCAGTAAGGCTTGCTTAGCTGGCCCTGCCTTAGACACTGGGGATACTATTGGAAAGACGGGAAGTTATATATATAGGAAACTGGGAGTTTCCCGAGGACTTGCGGGAAAGTCCTTGAAGGCGGAATCCATCTAGTGGCGAGGGCGAGAATGATGGTCGCTACAAACCATATCGATCTTATATTGTATTCATCATGTTAAATGGCGAAGAAAAATCTTTTTATGAGGATTAGAAGTATGCACGATCAATAGCTACATCTTACATAAGGTGTGAGCAAAAAGAAGAAACAAGACGTCTATGTCATATTTTATGTTTGTCCGGAATTTGCTGAAACAACTCACAGACGATTTTCGTAATGGAGCATCTCCAAAAGCACGAAGATCATCGTCCTCGGATAAAGAGGAAAGGCTTAATGGCAAATTGCGTATACTGCGGCACTGTAAAGTGTAAAGATTGTAAGCAAAGAGTGTAAAGACGCCAAAGTAATTATTTTTGCGACACATTAAAACATTATTATGTAAACACATACCTCAAGTTCACAAAAGAATTCATAAAACTTGTTTATCCTTCATAGTCTTGCATATTATGTATCACTGTTCGTTGAATGGAAATTAATTCCGACCAGTTCGACACCCATGTCTAAATTTAATACGACCGCAAAGGGTTAACACTGTGCCATCCGGTGGCGCCACGTTGGCGTTATGCGAAAACTATCGGGCAAATGCCGGTGACACCACGTTGGTATCATGTGCACGTGATGAGTCAGTCCTACCGGCACCGAACGAAAGAATCCCGATTAACCCGATCCCTAACCAAACCTAACCTAACCAAACGTAACATAACTCAACATAACGTGCCGAGACCACTATTGCTGGCCTCCCCAGAGCAAAGCAGAGAATATTAGAGCACAGTATAGCGCAGAAATCCACCGAATAGCAGTGTATAGCACAAAAGTCAAAGCTATCCTAACCTAACCTAACCAATCGTAATATTACCAACCATAACCTAACGAGCCGAACACTTTACCGATTAATCGGCTTTTTGTCCCGAATGCTCACCGACCGGTAGCCGATTAATCTGTTACTATGGCAATTAGCAAGCATTTGTTACTTTGTCAGCTGCCATATTTTTATAAAATTTTCAAAAACTTAACGTTCGCGATGAATGAAAGATAGTAGCATTTTTGTAACAATGAGAGAATTTCTCGCAATTCGCATAGACTTGCGAAACTTCAGCCTGTCGTTGATTATTTAAAGCAAAAATTTAACGATGTGTATAAACCGTGTGAACAATTGTCTTTGGCGAGACAGTCTAAATCGAAACAGAGGTGTCAGGGAAGATTGCGGCTGAGTGACTGGTTAGAAGGGTATAGGATGTTGGCCCGCTACCGGTCGGTAAAGTGTTAAGATACCTCTTTCAAATCAGAAGAGATTCAGGGTTGCACATTTTGGGATCTTCCGATGTCAGTCGAGCTACCTCGCACGCCTTGCCTTGGAAACCCAGTGAACCAGTCAAAGACCATAGGATTGCAATAACAATCCCTGGGTCCGGACATTTAATAGAAACCAAGACAAGACCTGCAGCATTGCACACATCTGTCACGGTGTGAATAAAGCTTCCTTGCAGCTCTTCACTTTAGACATTCAGTGGAAGACACGTCAGGCCATGTCATAGGTTACAGGGTCAACGAAAAGTTGAGAAAATCAATGAATATTCTCGAGTTTCCCATCGTCGGTAATGCCTCTTGACAGTTCCTAGACACGGTCACCTAGTGTAAGCCGAATCAGACCT